ACAGAACGCCAGATTACAAAACGCCAGATTCGAACAGCGCAGATCAGTATAGTAGAACTGAGCGTGGGGCGAGTGCAGCGACAATGCCAGAAAACGACTCAGCGCCAGAATCAATGATGAAGAAAAGAAGAATAATCTCCGTGTGATATTGATCGATCATATAGAAAATGTGGAGATTAGTTTTAATTTTTTAATTTTCGCTTTATTGGTTCTGCCACTGGATCGCATTCCTGCATTCTGGCAGTACTTGTCCCGCGTTCAGATTTTTTGTACTCATCGTTCTCGCTTCGTCCTCGTGGAATCCATATCGACTGTCGCAGGAGACGTCTTCTTGAGAACTATCGACTGGATGTATGCCTCGACGTGGTCTGATATACTGATCTTCTTCGCATAGCGTTCGTGCAAGTCGTTACAATCCCGTCAAGTCATCACATACTGAATTATTTTGGTCCTGCATCTCATTTCTGACCCAAGCTTATTAGCAAGTAAATCATATCTTCTCTTTTTCTCGGACTTGACTACTGTTAACTTGTCCTGACTAGTGATGCCAAACTCAATCAGGATTACTTCACGTCGCTTCTTATCGTGTATCATGATATCCGGTCGATCCGCTTTTGTTCTGATTGCAGTTCTCACTCCCATATCGACTCTGATCTCAACATTCTCGTTCGCGACGACCTTCTGAGCAGAATGGCTTTGCAAGCGCAGTAATGCTTTCAGCATACTTCTTACAGAGTCCCAAGTGGATGCATCGTAGGACCTCACTGTGTTTTCTATTGTAGTCGTGATGTAACATTTTTTCACACTGCATTGCTAGATGGTCCTCGGTCTTTACACCTTCCCCACAATTTTGGCACATGCTTTTCTGAGCTCCAAACATCTTTCTATCTTGGAGGTTATAGTATCGTGCCTCATCTTGCGGGGTAATGTTTCCATATCGCAGCAATTTTGATGAATCAGCTATGGACGAGATTTTATTCGCCTGCATCTTGTATACCTTTGCATGGTGGGTTTTCTTTTCTATTGCGCTATACAATAATGCCTTCTGGGTTGCTAATACGTTTTCAACGGTAGGATTTTCTTCGCGGTTGTACTTAAGATAGGGTACAGTAATTGCCAAGTTCGTGTTATGAGCTTTCTCTTGCTTCAGAATCGCTGCCCTTCTGGTA